TATTGACATGCATTGTCTCTCATTTCAGTATTACCCTCAATTCTGGAATTTTCATTAAAGAGTTCTTCCACATAATTAATACTTCTGTGGTAGTTTGCAACAGTGGAAATACTTTGTATATTTGTCCCTTTCTTTAAGTCACTTCTCCCTAACTTTTTATTTCCAAGAAATATCTTCAAATTTGAGTTTGGTGGCTGACTCCTTTTTAGGTTGTTTTTTCTTCCTCTATTGGTAAGGGATAAACCCAAGTCACACTCGACCTTTTTCCAAAATATCCATCTCCTCTATGAGCCCACTGATATGATTCTCTTCTTCCTTTTCCACATCTTTAGCCTATATTTTTATTTTTTCTTTTAAAGTTTTGAGTTTGTTGGCAAGACAGTAGCTGAGAGTCCCTCTACAGAACGTATTTTTCCACTCAGATTCAACCATGGACTTGAAGCTTTCAGATTTAAACCGTTTATTCTCAATTCTAAATGGTATAGGACCCCATTTAATACCCTCAAGATCAAGACAAATATAAAAATGATCAGAGAGAGATCTAGTGAGTTACTTTTGTGTGAGACCCGGCGAATTTAGGAGAAGATCTTAACTGACAAGAAATCTGTTAATCTTTGAGTAGGAGGGAGTTTCTCTGTCATTACACCAAGTCCAGTTCCCACATTTCAGAGGAAGATTAATCAAACTATAGTTATCAATAAAGGATTGAAAGTCTTGAGCTTCAGAAATAGAGAATTAGTTACTGCTTCTCTACCATCTTTTGAGAATCATGTTGAAGTCTCCTCCAATCACCCCCTTCTTACCCCATTTATGCATGCAAGCAGAAATTTCTTCTATAGCATTGCCCGTGCAGCATTATTATCTCTACACTACACACCAGTAAAGAACCATTCAGCACCATTAATAGAACTATTGAAAAAACAAGAGACTGATGTTTCTCCCAAGAGTCAATCTTTGTATTCCACAATGTCTTTATTCAACATAACCACAATGCCTCCAGCATTGCCCCTGGCTGGACTAGAGAACCACCCAATTGATTCACCTTCCACAAACTTTTTATGATGCTCTCATTGATCTCTTGAATTTTGGTTTCTTGGAAACATATGATAGTTGGTTTCCATCTAGTCAAACAGCCCCTTATAATGTTTCTTTTACTCGGATTATTGATGCCCCTTATGTTCCAAGAGAGTTTTTTCAATCATTTAGACACTGATGAATCCACTGATGTGCCCCCTTCCACATTTTTTTCCTTCCTGTCATAATTTCTTGAGCATTGAAGAGGCTTCAATTCCCTTGACCCCACTTCTTGTTTTTTTTTTGTCTTTTACTCGACTGTGGACTGACAGCAACCTTCTTTCCGTTTCTTTCTTTCAACTTAGCAAACATAGCTAAAGCCCTATCCTAAAAACCATCATAAGTGACGCCAAGCATTTGACTAATGCCTTCGATATTCTGAATTACCTTAGAGAAATAAATCTGAGCATCATTCCACTTGGCAGGCACCTGAGAGACCGGATCAACCATTACCAGAGGCCAACAAGGGGGAAGCAACAGATTCCTCATAGGGAGCCACCCCTTTTGTGCTTATAGTTAATGGTTATATTTTTTTATTTAAAAAAAAGTAATCCTTCTAGATACATACAAAATCATCAAATACATTTGAAGTCTCATATTTAAGATATAATTTATCTGATTGCAAGACCTAAAAGTCTAAAAAAGGAAAACACTTATCTAGAAAAAGATCACAATCTCTAACATCTCCTGTAAGCAAACAGAAGAATTAAAAGTTAGTAGAAACATAATTAAAAAATTGTCTTGAAGACCAATTGAGTATCACTTTAAACAATTACGTTATGAACTCATAATTAAGCCATTTCCAAACCATACAGTGGAGCTAAGATTTTTTCCATTTGCACCAATGTTGTGTTTGGGATTCTATGCATACCCATAAGCTACTCTTCCTAACCAATAGTTTTAAATCATTTGTACTGATCTTTTGTAGAAACCTTGAAGCAAACATTGTCACACAAAAAACTGTTGTCAACCATACAACTAGGTTGAAGACAACATTTTCAAATTCTGAGTGCATAAGAACATTTTCAAAAGTGAACTATCAGTAGATTCTTCAACATCACCACATAGAAAAAATAGATTTCAATTGATATCTTTCTGTAGTAGTCTTGTTTTAACAGGGAAAACATCCATACGCAACATCCAACAGAAGTGTTTAATCTTTGGCAGAATTTCCTAGGCCCACAAGATCTTCCCATGCAATACAGAAGAACCTGATGGTGAGGCTTAATCAAGCATGCACCTATTCTTCCAGGAGCACATATAACCCAATCTAACTGAGTATTCCTCATCCTTAATAAAGTTTCAAATAAGGTTATTATGAATGGCATTATGCTAATTGGAATTTCGCAAAATCTACTTTGCCTTGAATAGTAGAAAAAAATTCCTAAAAGATTAGCATTCCATATAAGTGAAAAAAATCTGCGAAAAGCCATGTACTAGGCTGAGAGGGTATCTCGCTATATGATTATACTATCCATTTTTCAATTCACTAATGAGCTATGAGTGTGAATAATCACAAAAAGATAAATAATAGAGGTCGATGAAGCCAATAACGGTTGAACATAGAGCCAAGCTGTAATACCAAAACAGATGAACACAGTTGAGCCACCGGACCCTTAAAAAAACTCAAATTGATAGAAAGTAACCAATTTTATTATTTATATTACATCCAATATTCTTTTAGGTAAAGGAACCCAAACTGCCAAAATAACAAGGCCAAAAGGAATATGAAATATAGAATTGCTAGTACTAAAAATTGAAGCCTTAGAAAAAGAAAAAATAAATAAAGTGTTTGACAATTTTTAAAAAATTTTCCATTAGGAAAGAAGAAAATAAACCAAAAATAAGGAAAGAAGAACAAGGGTAAAAAGCTTATATGAGAAAGGAGTAAGATAAACAACAGCAGGAAGCTTCATGGAGAACATAGTGCAAAGAAATGACAGCAATCTCATCAATTTGGATTAAGAGAAGATTTGAAGCTTGGTTGATTCTTCATTTTGCTAATTGGTCTGCCTAAGAGTTTTGATCCTTGAAATTTTTTGGAAAATAATGTTTCTTGAGCTGTTAACCAATATTCTTATTAAAATAAAAATCTAGTTATATCTCTATGGAACCTAAGATGAACCACAAAGCCAGGAATTCATAGTTGAATCACTCTCTAAAGTGACTTCATCATATGCATGGCTTAAATAATAAGGCTAGTTTTTTAACAAAACTGTTAATGATTAAGATACTAAAAAATGAACTAATTTACTAAAAAAATTATAAATAAAGAAAACTCAATTAAATGAGAAAAAAAAAATCAAAAATAAGGAAAGAAGAACAATGGTAAAAAGCTTATCTCAGAAAGAGGATAAACAAAAAAAAGGAAGCACCATGGAAAACATGGTCTAAAGAAATGACAGAAATCTCATCCATTAGTGTTAAGAGAAAAAATCTGAAGCTTGGTTGACTCCTAACTTTGCTTGTTGGTCCGCTTGCGAGTTTTGGTCACTTGAAATTTTTAGGAGATGACATTTGTTGAACTGTTAACCCAGATTCTTATTAAAGCGAAAATCTAATTGTATTTTTATGGAAAATTAGATGAATCACAAATCCAGAAGAGTCACAACTGAATCACTCTCTACGATGACTCCATTCACATGCATGACCTAAATAACAAGGCTAATTATTTAACAAGTTTACCATTAATAATTAAGATACTCAAAATTTTGTAGGTCCTGACATCCAAGAATATCCAATGGATGAAGTTTACTAGCTAAAACATGAGCTGATCTAAGTGGTATTAGTATAAAGAATTGAGAGTTGTAATAGCAGTAGAGACATAGGGTATTAAGATATAAATTAGATAATTTTCTATTAAATTAAATTTTTAGAAAAACTAGTTACAATTATCAGAGCTTGAGATCCTAGTTTCAAAACTTCACTCTTGCTATTTCTCCTATTTATTTCTCTATTCCAATTATTGGGTTCTATTATTCAATTCTGATTGCATTCCATTTGGTCCACGTGCAAGTTGCACATGAAGACTCTAGTTTGAGTGCACCTCAGCTTATACATGACAGTATGTTAAAATATAGTGTAAGTAATAAATTAGATTTTTTTTCTACTTGTTTAAACTTTTGAAAAAATCAGTTATGACATGAATTTGTAATTATGTTGCAAGAAACTAGAAGTGATTCCCCTATTTGTAATAGAAAGAGTAAATTAATGCTTATCATCACTCATGATTTCACAAGAGATGAGGTAAACTAAGACCGCAACTGCAGATTGAGGATTCTTTTGACTATTGTAAATTGAAAGGAGTTTGGATGTAATAGAATATACATAAAAATTATAGATTTAAAGCAAAATACACCAAGAATATTTATTAAGAAGGCTGAAATCCAAGATTGCAAATGAAATATTCTTGAATGGGATCATAGAAAGCTCGTGAACATGAAGAATCATGGATTACTGCAGAATGCTTGTTTTATGATATGTCTTTTTCTATTCATAATAGGTAATTGGTCTCTGAGAGATCTGAATGAATTGGGCTTAAGAGTTTTGAGTATGAAAAGAAACATGTATTTTTTACCCAAATATTATCTCTTCCATGGAGTAACTCATACAATTACCAAACTGCATAAATTTCTTGTCCTGTTTATTTTTGGCATGGTTTGCCTGCATAGTTTTCTCACTGAACAAAAGTTTGCAAGAAAAATTTCCATTCGTTTACTAAAATTGGGGATTAACATCATGTGTTCTAAGTTGTATGATCAAGAAGTTATTCGTTGTCACCAATGATGTAAAATAAGCTTAGCTCTTTTATTTTTTCTTTAAGTTTTTTCCCTTCACCTGGTATGTGGTTGCCTTGAGGTCTTAGTCTTGTCTTTTCTTCAATTAAGTGATATTATTAGTTACCTTGTGTTTTTCTCATATGACAGAATGGAGAACATCCTAGAGCAATATGAGAGATCCTCACAAATTGAACCTCAGCTACTTGCTCCGGCAAATGCAGGATTGCACCAGGTACTCGATTTTCACCAATATAAACATGACTTGTACTTGGTTAAGTTGTGTAATCAATTCAGCTAAATGCTTTGCTCTAGCAAAACTGGGGTATGGAATTGCCCAAGCTCACGAATCGGTTTGAAGTCCTGCAAAAGAACCTGAGGTACTAATAATCTAACTTAATTAATGGAGTATAGATGTTGAATTATTTATGCATATAGCTGGTCTGGTCTTAGACACTACACCACGCATGGCATTAAGGAATAATCTTTCACATGCTGTTACACAATTGATTGTGTAGGCAATATGCTGGAGAAGAGCTGAACCCTCTAAGTCTCAGGGAGCTTCATCATTTGGAGCAACAAATTGATAGTGCTCTTAAGCGTATACGATCTAGAAAGGTTTCAAATTAGAGCTTACCTTCTTCTTAGGGTTTACTTGTAATTACATTTGATATATAATAAAATCAAAATTAAAAATCATCTCATTTATGGAGCAATTTCTTCTATTTAAATGCAGAACCACCTCATGCACGAGTCCATTATAGAGCTGCACAAGCAGGTAACATATAGATGCCCATCACAATATACATTTTTTTTTCTTCTGATTTGACAACTTCATTCTTTAAGCAGTGAAATGTTTGACTTTTGCTCCTTCTCATTCTAGATCATATATGTGTGTGTGTGCGCAACGGATAAGTAGAGTTTGATTCTGATTCTTAAGACTCATGTGATTAACAATGAGGCTTTGTAACAGGAAAAGGCACTGAAGCAACAAAATAACATGCTAGCCAAAAGGGTAAGTAACGACGTAAAACACCAGTAGATAATCTAGTCCTTCAAATTTACTAAAACATATAGTATACTATTGTTAAAAGCTATATATGACATAAGAACAGATTAAGGAAAATGACAAGGGGATGGAGGAAGGTACACAGAGGGAGCAGCGAACCAATAATAATTGCCAAATCTCCACCCCGTCTCGCATTCTATTGCCGCCACCATCACCATCACCATCACCATCATCAATTTTTCTTCCTCCTCCTTCCACTAGGTACTCTTCCTTTCTTTTCTTGCTTTCTTTCTTGAATAAACACTTTCATGGAAAACGCATCATGCTTATTGAGTTAATAGAAACCAACAGCCTCATACATAATTTTAGTGCTTTTAAATCATAAAAGACTGCGTTGAACACATTCTTCATTTTAGAGAAATGATTTTTCTTTTTGAAAGACAAAAGGGCAGTACATATACAAGCACCAGTTTGTTTTGATCATTAAAAGTTAAAACAAATTGTGGATTGAGAGATACACATAATTTTGCGGATGCTGCAGTGACCCTTTCCAAAAGGAAGTGGCAGTAAATGAAAAAGCCGAAGGTCAAACTCAACACAGCACCATGCCTCCTTGGATGCTTCACCATGTGAACCAATAGAAATTCTGAAACCAAGTTGTTTGCTGTTATATACAATTAATGAAGTAAATTGTATCTAAGATTAAAACTTTTCCCTCGTCATAAGGTTGTATTAAAATACTACTGAGCATTTGCTGAATCGATAAAATTAATCTTGTTGTGGCACATTAACTGCTTACTTGATATGCAACCATGGATTTCAAAATGTAGCTGAAACTAGCCATAGCTAATGTATATAACCTGATTTTGACAATCCCTTTTGAGAGAATATATAACAATGAGATGTAGTTTGGTTATGGTGCAGGATATATAGTGGGACAATACTGTGAAATTTATGAAAAAATTCTCTTGATTGTAAAATTGGTTTTTACACACAGCGCTAAGATGAGATGATAACACTGTACAAGTTATACCTAGTATTTTATCTCTTAAGCCCCCTTCCCCCTTCCCAAGTAAGTTGGGGATTGGATCTCAAATGGTTGAATTGATTTTAAATCAGTCCTTTGATAAAGATTGTTGGTGGTAACCATTTATAAGCTACTAAAATGCTTAAGAGTGTCCTCTTAGCAATTCCACTGTAATGCTTTGTAGTGCTCTTCACAAAGCTTGAAAGTAGACCAACAGAGAATGAATCATCTGGCTGAATATTAGATAAATAAATCTGACCTCTAGATTTCTGAAATTTCTTGCATCAACTTTTTCAGTACCATCTATAACTAAGGATTTTTCATTCATATTCTTGGCCAACAATTTCGCATTTAGGTATGTTAAATTTTTTTAGAAGTTCAATTACATATTTCTTTTGTGAAATACACACTCTATTGGCTCCTTTCTTCATGTCCATCCGAAAAGAATAATGCAAGAAATCTTAATTAGACCTTTCAAATTTTTTCATCATATTATATTTAAATTTAACACAGAAGAATGAGATGAGTTCATATAAAATTATATCATTAACATATTGATATATCAGAAGAAAATGAATATTAACTTGCATCTTCAAGCAAAGTGTATGATCAATTTTGCTCCTTTTAAACCTATTTTAAAGAAAATGAGTCAATTTTACCATACAATATTCACAATGATTATTTTATCTCGTAAAATATATCTTTTACAGGTATAGGGTATATTTTTTTTCATTAATCATGAAAACTTCAAATTATGTAACATAAATTTTCTCTAATAATTAACTATTAAAATTAATGCCAAATTGATAAACAACCATTCTACTTTGGCTGTCAAAGTCAAACATTTTAACCATTTTAAATAAAGCAACAAAAGAAAATATCTCTTTGAAGTCGATACCTTGCTATGAGTAACTCCTCTCACCAAAGCAAAAAATAAATAGTGGGTGGACGATTCTAGAGAGTTGAGAAGGCTGTTAGTCTAGCATGACTATGACAATCCAAAGGAAGGAGATAAGAAGGGACGGGGATGTTGGGAGATTTTAAATTTTGGTCATATTGTTTCTTAAAATTTTAGGGGTATAAGCAACTATAAGAAGAGACAAATGATTAGGAGCTACATAGATATATGGAGACCTGATGTGATTTGTTTGCAGAAATCTAAAATGAAATCCATTTCTGATCAGATTATTTGAAGCCTTTGTTGGAAAGATCTACTAATTAGAAGAACATCTGAAGGAATTTTGGTCTTTTAAAAGTGAATGATTTCTTGAATCATGATTTATTATCTGCCAATAAGGGTAACTACCCGAGTTATATGTAGAGAAATCTTCTTATTGGCCATGATCTACTTATAAATAGTTTTAAATGGAGTAGTGGTGATGAACACAAGGTGCAACAATGGGAAGACAAATAGTTATTTCATTATTCCTTGAGGATAATATGGACTCCCTGCCAACCTGGTAGTACTATTATGAGAACTTGTGTTTTATTCTCACCAGGTATGGCCATGTGGAATACATACATGGTTTACAATACTTTCTTACCACAAGATTCACAGAAAATCATGAGCATTTCACTCAGTTACATACTAAGTTCGGATAAGCTTGTGTGGTCGTTTGAGCAAGATGGGCAATATTCAGTTAAATTGATGTATGTGATGGCTTGGGAACAATGCCTCTAATCCAATACAAACACTGCCACCATGATCTCTATGCCATTCTTGATTTTTTAGTAAGCATTAATAAATGATTTTTTTTCTTTAAATCAAGAAATTTTACACTTAATGAGTTGCTAATTTCTATTCCTTTCTAGCCCAGTTATTGTTTTTCGGAATTACATACAATGACATATTGCCTTCCACTCGGCGTTTCAAGAATTGCTTTACTTGGATTCTCTATTTTCTTATTTAGCCTTGTTTATACAGTGCTAATTATGATGGATGGAATGGAATTAGGAATCTCTGTTTTATTTCCAGGGGTTTGGCTTTTGTTGTTGTATCTTTTGGAAGTCAGAGTCTCCAACAGCTTCAATAACAAACGGTCAGCTGACTTTCAAGTTTCACAAACATCTAATAAATGGTTTTCTAGTACAAGTTCGTGTTTGCAATGCTGAAGTACCTGATTCCCACTTAACTAGATTGATTACATAATTGTAACCAACTGGAGGCAAATTCAAAGAAAAATATTTCTCCCATGTACAAACAATACTTTCTTTTCTACGTTTATGCTCTTAGTCCTATGCTCTTAGTTCCTAATCAACCTGGTGTCGTAGAAGACAAGAGAAGGAATTGACTGAACCAATGATGAGCCTTCACAAAGCCAAGCTCAGTTCTTTTTTTTTTTAGCTTTTCTCACCACTTGCACTGCCATCTTCATGTTCAAAGTCACTGCCATCAAGCATGTGCTCCCTGTAAAACATTAGATAGCATCTCCATCATAAATAAACACCAATCAAGAACATGCAAAAATACTTAGCAGTTCACATGTTCTAATGTAGCAGAAAATTACAGGCACAAGCAGTCACTTTATATTCAATTTTCAAGCTGATATGAGACAGAAATGAGATAATTCACCATTGCAACAAGATTTCTGGCTCTTGAGAAAAACCCAAAGTCAAATTATCTTCCGGAGATAACAAAATCGAGAATTATCCCTTCATATTCAGAAAACTAGAATGAGTCAAAATGGAAAACAGTACCTTAACCTTTCACAGAGTCGTGCTAAAGCATCTGATCCTGTTCGAGATGCAACATCCTCAATCTCACAAGCATTTGAAAGGGTAATGTTATCTGCAAGTCTAAACTCGCACAACTCTTTCAGGGAACAGGCATCAGTCAATACAGCAGAATGACCACCACCGGCTGCTAGTTTCCGCACTTCCCCAACACACCTGCACATGTTACTTCCATCAGAATAGAAGAATAACTTTTTCAGAGGTTTTTATAGGATGGCTTGACTATAACATACCAATCAACTGGTGATGGATACCAAGCATATGTAGATTTCTCATTGGCAGCTTGGCCATAGTTATTGTAACCCCATCCATGAATTCTTCCATCTCGCAAACAAATGAGCGTGTGAGAGTGTCCACAAGCAACAAGTTGGGCACCAGTTGGGACAACCAAAACAGGGATATTGCGGAAAAATGTATCAGTTCCATTGGGAATGCATGAAAAGAAGCCAGATTGTGGGCCCAGGCCTAATTGCCCAGCTTGACCACCACCCCAAGCATAAAGAGCACCCTTTAAAGTCAGAGCACAAGTATGCACGCCACCACATGCGATATCCTTTATGGAGACTCCATCAAGCGCAACCACTCGCCTGGGCAGTAATTCTTTATCCCCAGATTGAAGGGCACAGTGACCTAGTTGGCCCATATTTCCTAGCCCCCAAGTATAGCTGCAAGGTCCAAACAGAACAATCTTCAAGAGCACAAACAAAGAAAAATGACTAGATGCTGAAATCAAAACACCAAGGTCACTTAACAGGACTCATTTTATGTGATTCTTTAATACATCCAGCTTCATATCTTAGGCTTCATCTTGACACAGCCAACTCAATAACAAGGATCTAGCATATGTGGACAGTAAGCATAAAAACCTAAAGTAAGAATTTCTTTTTTTTTTTTTAAATAAATCCTCAATTTTCTGTCTTTTAAAGTAAGAATTTCTTTTCTTTTTTAATAAATCCTCGATTTTCTGTCTTTGGGAGGGGAAATGGATCCTCATAAAGTCTTCAATCTATGAATATTAGACACCTGACAGAGGTGAATGTCGAAAAAAACATTTCAAGCAACCAACTCCAGTTTTATAGAAGTGATGTTTAGAGATATGAAGAGATGAAAAAGTATGAATCCTTTTTTCTTTTAAAAAACTATAATATATCTATCCTAGCCCAGATACACTAGCTCTAAGAATAAAAACATCATAAAACAACAAATCATGAATAAGTTTGTGCAAATTATTGTCGATATACCCATAATTGCAACGCATGCTGAAAGAAACAGTAGATATGACACCAAGTCTATGTTCGGTTAAAACACTCAGTTAGTAACAAGTAATAATACACAAACTAATTTCAACTTGAAGCTGACTTGCTTCCCCTTCTCTCCTTAGGAAGGGTGGAAATTATGCATTTTTTTTCAATTCTGTTAACAACACTATAAATGATATGTATGAGCAAACAAAGTTTTTTATCAGGGCCTAATTGTATGTTAGTAAAATTAGAATGATAAAACTGTATAAAAGTATTATTATGACTGAAGGTCTTCTCCAAAGAAATCATGGTCGTGATTTTTGTGGTTAATGAACCTAAAGGTGAAGATACTTGCATATCAGAATGCATCTGATCTCCATTTCATCCAATCTGCTGGACAATGTGAGACTCCACCAGAAGATTTGTCCAAACCTTCATATAGAATAACTTGTGCCATGCGGATAACCACAATTCTCATGCTTAAGTAGAATCTATCTCCATTTAAGAAATCTGAGATAACTTACACCTCCCCATTCTCAGATATCGCTGCTGTGTGGTACTCCCCGCATGACACTTGAATAATCTTCACAAGTTCAGGGGCTTCATCAAGGAATTTTGCATAAGCACTTATAACACAAGGCCCCTGTAATCCTTCACAAGTAACACCTCTTCCCAGTTGACCATATTCATTGTAGCCTGGTTTCAGAGAAATGCCGTGGATACATATTAATATGTGGCAGGAAACCAGCAATAAAATCCATGTTTTCCTAATTTAGAGGCCCATCTACAATCAGAAGTTCAAAAGCACAATAATAACTGAAAAATGCATATATATATATATATATATATATATATAAAGGGACCGGATCACATCAAAGCAACAGCACAGTAGTAATCTACTATGTAGAAAACCATTAAGACTTTAGCAATGGACCAGAAAGGAGTCAAGAACACTTACCCCAAGCTTGTAAGAGGCCTTCATCTGATAAAGCCACAACATGAACAGCTCCACAGGACACTTGACGGATGATCTGTAACATTTAAAATATATAATCTGTATAATCTAAAAAAATTCCACATAATTAGGACCAAATAGAGTTGGAAATCAGATTTGACAACCAACACTTAATGGAAATCATTACATAAATGAGTAATTAAAAAATTTAACATTTCTACAAAGCAACAATATGCGGCCTGAATACCGTAGGCTCTCAAAACTTGGACTAAAACAATGAGTGAAAAGTAAGCAGGATCTCCTCAACCATTTCAGCAAGAGCCCCTCAGTTAATGAGACCATTCATGATTAAGAAAGACGTGAATTTGGATCTTCAGCCCAAAGGAATGTGAAGTACCATAATGACAGAACTAAGCAACATTATGGAACCCAGGGATACTTAGATAGATCCAGCTAAATATTTCTTTATCCTACCATATACATTGAACATGAGTGATACTTCATATAGTTATACAAATATCATTTGCAACTGGCAAGATTATTTCAATACAATGACAGAGAAAGACCCACTTCATACCGTGTTTGGAGAAAATGCCCCCCAAAATAAACGTGGTAAATTTGAGCCCTGTATGAAGAATCATATAAATAAAATGTATTATTTACAGTCATCATCAAAGCATTACTTAAGAATACCTGCAATAATCATAGAAATCAAAAAAAAAATTATAGTATTTATACTCGCCACTAATGGAATACTTACGAATACCTAAACTAATAATAATTCTACAGGAGAAAAAATTTACTAACCTGATTTTGGCCCCAAACCCAGAGTCTGCTTTTCGAGATGGTTCCATCATTTTCACGGGGTTCTGCAATAGCAGCAGTACAATGTGCTCCACAAGATACAGATTTCACAAATTCTGTCTGCAATTGTTTTAGTTTTTTTGGGTGTTTCCTACCCATCTCAGTTCCATCTCCCAGCTGACCAAATTCATTAGCACCTAATCAAATGTGTTAAGTTTATAAAGGCATCATTATGAGAAAACATAAAACAAAAGTGGCATAGTACATGTATGATTACGGAAAGGGGAAATAAATATTTCCGGAAGAGAAAGGAAAGAGTTCCTCATACTCATTGTAGTTACCTGTTAACAATTTAATTTTCAACCCAATACCCACCAACAAAGATATGATTAGTGCCTAAAGAACTGGCCTTTTAACAAATTATAACCATCAACCAACAAAAGCTTGATAAAGGAATCAAACATAACAATGGAACTCATAACAAAAAATTCGAAAATATTCCTTCAAGTAAGAGAGGGCGAACCCCAGGTAAAGAGTGACCCATCTGAGGCTACAGCTGCAGTATGCTCACGGCCACAGGCGATATCTAGCCAGCGTGAGTTAGCTCCCGCCGGGCACCCAAATAGCTCTGGAGGAAGCTGCTTGGGTATCCGCAGTTGGTGCTCCTTTCCCTTTCTACCTGTTTGCCCACTCTGATTATATCCCCACACATATATTGCACTCTTTGTTGGGAGATTCACAGGGCGGGTAGTATCGCCAATAATCTCATCAATATCCATTTATCTCCCAAAATAACAACCTAACCAATTATAGTAAGCAAATGGTCAAACCAACAAATGAGACAATTACATAGAACTTCAACATGCAAAACCAGAAATTAAATCTTGAAAATTCTACTTAAAATCATAAATTCTTAAAAAGATGGAAACTAACGAGTACTTGTTACTTCTAAGCTATGCCTGCTTGATTGCCGAGAGAATTCGACCAAAACGAAAAGATCAAATCCCTTACGAAATTTTTGGACTCCCTAACAAACATAAAGATAAAGAATTGGACTTTTAAATCGTGAAGAAAGGTAAGAAGATAAAAACGAAATAAAGAATCCTTGAAAAGTTTCTTCACAAATAAAAAAAGTTAGGGATTCAAGAAAAGAACAAGAAAGAAATGCGGTTTACTGATTAGAGGTAAATAACAATATCATTTATCTAGAATAAACAATGCGTACAATAGATGGAAAACGAGTCGGAGAAGGTGGAATACCGTGCCTGAATCTGCGGATTGTTCGATTGGGTTGGTGATGGGAGTGAAATTTTTCAAGAAATGGGAATTTGTTTGATTGTGAGAAGACAGCTTGTCGCTTCTGGTTCCAAGAACCTTGGAGTTGGATCCGAGCCCAAAGAGGAAAATAATTCGCCCGATACTCAATGATTTATTTGGTTCCGAGAAGTTATATCAAAAGAAAATCTTCTGAATTTGCAGTTTTCTTTATTTCGTTTTTAGTATGTGAAAAGAAGAGGATGATAGATATTTTTGTCAAATTTCTTTAATAATATCTATTATCGTTTTTTTTTATACTATTTAATTGACTGCAAATTATACACTTTATAATTTTTAAACATAAAAATAATTTTAATAACAATTATTTATTTAAAATTTATAAATATATTTTTAATTAACTATAATTTATATATTTTATAATCACTTTTTTAAATTATAACACAGATTAAAAATTAATTATAACAAGAAATAAGCTTCAACCTACAGCAAAATTCTACTTGAATTATTCATTCAATTTTTTTCTTTTGGACCGGATATAATTATATTCTTTTTTCACAAATTATATTTAAATGACATGATTTATAATATTTTATTTGAAATAATTTAGTGAATATTTTATTCTTAATTAATTATGTAGACAACTATGATTTTCTCTATTAAATTATTAATAAAAAATATTATATCCAACACACACTTACCTCTTGATTGAAAATCGTTTTAGTTTTTCTTTTTATATTTTCCCTTTAATATTCCTCTCCCCCAAACAGAGCCTAACAAATTGGAAATTGAGGTAGGTGATGAAATGTGAAAACTTTGGGGTGCAGATTCTGGGTAGTTGCTGAAAATCATCGAGTCAACCTCCTACTTTTTTCCGCTCGCTATAAACTGGCTTCTTACAGCAGCAAATGCGCTTGGCCCGTCTTCAAAATCTTCCGCCATTTTGTACTTGCAGGTACTCGAAATCCACTTTCATGCTTTTAATTTGCTTGAATTGTTAACTGCTCTTCCATTTCTTGATTGTTACCAGACTATATGTTTCTTTTTTTTCTGCTGATAAATTGTATGTCACCGTACCTGGCAAGAATTCATTCTGTAGCCAATATACGACTGCGTTGGTTTCCGTTTTTGTTTGGATATGATATGCTGCTGCCTGCGAATGATTTTTTGGATCCAGAATGAAACAAGTCTAATTTAATCTAAATTGTTTCGTTTTGTTCCTTGAAAGATTTCTGTTGGTGAAAGAATTGATAACATGAAATTGGTTATGTTGTTTAGAAAAAATGAATCCACATTTTTGTGGGAATTAACTTGAAAATCTGAGATTTTATTTTGGAATTTGAATCGAGATGTAGTTTAGAATTGACTTTTCAAAATTTCTGTGTAGTTCATTTGTTCCAAACACGGTGCAAGTCTTTTTCACTTCCATGCTTTGGAATTGAACACAGGAGAAGACATTCCTCTGTCTAACCATATAGTTTTTCTCCTTTTCATCCATTTGAGTTTTAAATCTGATGGAAACGTAAGTCTATAAGTTTTCATATCCGAAAGAGTTGTAGGTATTTCCGTGACTTTGTTCCAAATAAAAAAGGAAGAACAAGATAATAACAATTTTTGTTACCATGTACTAGAAGAAACATTAACGGGAGGTCTGACAGTCATTAATGCTGAAAGGAACACGACGAAGAACAAAAGTAGGAGATTTCAATAGGTTCTGCTGGATGAGGATTGTAATACAGTAGGAAAGTATTTGCTTGGTTTTGAATCTTCAACCAAAAAGATAACCCTTGCTTCAAAACCGAATAAGAATTTTATCAAGTGCAGCTTTTTTTTTTCTAAAATAAAATAACATCAATAATGTAAAGAGATTTCAATAAAATTGTTGAAATCATGGATTTGAAGAAACTGAAGCTACTAGATTGGCTAAGAATTAACAGCAGGGAAACAATAGTGAGGATGGTCATAACATTCCATTATTCTTATTTTAACCATGACAAACCACTTTTGCTCCAACTGATTGGGCCTTGTTGATGTTAGAGAGAGCAGATACGCAAAAGTAATGGCTCAATCAGTGAGTAACACCCCAGGAAAGAAGCTTGTTCGCATTGATGTCAGTTCAGACACCGTGTGTCCATGGTGCTTTGTGGGCAAAAGGAATCTTGACAAAGCCATAGCTGCATCCAAGGATCAATTTGACTTTGAGGTTCCTCTCTCTCTCCTCCCCCTCTGAATCGTTCCCTCGTATATCTGCTCAAAGTTGATGTACTCAATTGAAACGTGCAGATTAGATGGCATCCATTTTTTCTTGATTCTTCAGCCCCAAAAGAAGGTGTTAATAAGAGAGAGTTTTATGAGAAAAAGTTTGGATCTAGATTCACGGGGATGATGGCTAGGATGACCGAGGTTTTTAGATCATTCCTAAAATCACCCTTTTCATTGATTTGTATTTGATTTGTTTGGCTAACATGTCATTAACTCTCTATGATCAATAATACTGCAGGTTTTCAGGGGCCTTGGGTTAGAATATGACATGTCAGGGCTCACGTAAGCTTTAAATATGTCTCTGTAATTTTTTGAATAAAAGAGCTCAAGTTGCTTTTTCATTAGAAATATAACTGATGTTCTTTTGAGTATGCATGCACAGGGGAAATACTCTAGATAGCCACAGGCTTATATATTTTGCTGGGAAACAAGGTTCTGATAAGCAACATAATCTTGTAGAGGAGCTCTGTATTGGCTACTTTACACAGGGAAAATACATTGGTGACAGGTCTATTTCCTGGCTGGGGAATTTATATTTCCTGTTTTTTGGTGTTTAACAATTTTTGTGCATCCTGAAGATCTCGTATGCCTAATGCAATTGAAGTGTCTGTACTTGTTTCCATCACTGCTGTCATGTTCACCCCAGCCCAAATTTTAACCTTAGATTTTTAGTTATGCTGAGATTAGGTGCTCTGAGGCTGAATTTAAGTGCAATACATGTATTAATTGAAAAGTGATTTCTGCATCGAACAACTATAGATTTTCATCTTTCCATGGTGAATGGTTAGCAACTGAATAAAGAAAGTTAAATGAATGTTTAGCAATTGAATAAAGAAAGTTAATAGAAGAGCAACAAATTAATATTTTATTTGCTATGACTGATTTATTATAGTATCCACAAGATCGGTCTGGAAATTTTAATGAGAATTGGAACAGCTCGTTTGTTTTACTAAATTATTAAAATATTCTTAATATTATTTGCAACCAGGCAAGGCAATTAAATACTAGAGAAAGTAAGTATGGATTGTTAGATAATGAATGCAGATCCAGTAACATTCGTTGGTGCACATTTTTCACTCGAAATGTCCTCAAAAAGTAAGTTGAGTTGATTTTCTTTTTGAACCTTTGGAACCTAAAATGGCTACAATCGGTATGTGCTTATTTTCAGGGAATTTCTTGTGGAATCTGCTAGAAAGGTTGGGATAGAAGGTGCAGCAGAATTTCTTGAAGACCCCAACAATGGAGTCAAGGAGGTCTGTTTTTTTACTTTTAGCCTGATGTTTCTTTTGTCGACAAGGAAGCAGAAAAAACTGAAAGTTGATTGCTTATAATGAATTGAACTTTTAAGCTTGTTTTGTAAAGAGTTAAGAGCTATCCTTCCTTTTTTTGCACTAATAATCTCGTAGAGCATCATTTTATGCTTTTTATTTTAATTTAATTACCATGTTTTGTATCAATACACATGATCGGTAATATAAGAACTTTAACTTTGCTTGCAATTTCAATTGAAGCATTCTGTAAGATTACATAGCCTTTTCGTCATTCAGTAGATTTCAACTGACAAATCAATAAGATTCATTCTCTCCCGTATCTGCTTCGTTGTCGAAAATAGGCAGGATATTTTTCCCCTGCAAATAGTGTTAACTTGAAATGACCTTTCTTTGTAATCAAATGAAGGTCAATGAGGAGCTGGAGAAGTACTCTTCCCACATTACAGGGGTGCCATATTATGTGGTAGGTGATATAAACATCACTTGCATACACATCATTTTCATTTTCAGATGGTTTCAACATACATAACTATTCATGCCTTTTGAGCAGATTAACGGGAACCACAAATTTAGTGGTGGCCAACCTCCAGAGGTGTTCCAAAGAGCTTTTCAAGTGGATGCAAATTGACATTAGCTTGAACCTAAAACCACCTCTTACCTACCTCCAGTATTCAATAAGAATGCTCATCCAATGGCCAATTGGAAAACAGATGTTTCATTGTCATATCTATTCCTCTATAGATTAAGGGTATTATGTTTGCATATATACATATATACATACATATGTAAATTAAGCCCCTGTATATATATACATATATATTTATATGTTGGTTTAAATAAATATGATACAAATACATTTATGTTACTAATGTTGATCAGAGATGTCAATCCCTTGACATTTACCAAGAGTTGTTATTGGTTCAAACTTTTGAATGCATGTTGACAAACTTCTTATGGGTCCAGGGAAATTTGTTGAGAATTCTGTATTAAAAGGATTAAAATATGGAAGTTAGTATGCGGGAAGGATTAAAAGAAACCCTAGGTTCTTGGCAGTGCGAACCTTACCAAAGCCAGAAACAACATTAGGAGAATATGGGGCCAAAAAAAAAGGAAAAAAGACAAAAGAAAAAATGCAGCAAAAAAAGAGGGAGAAAATGAAAATAAAAACAAAAAGCTGTTAAAATCTATTTAAAAAAGAGAAAGAGAAAGAGAAAGAAAAATTCAAAAAGAAAGTTGAAAAAGGAAACGAGAGGAAGTGGGTTGAGAATAAGGAAAGGCGGTGGCAAACTGATGGCAGAAAATCATGAAGAGAACAAATGCTTACGGTCATGGATGAATGAAATCTTCTGAAAACTCTATGTATTGAGACATAGTTGAAGTAATACAAGAAATACAATATCTAATAAAACTCTAGTTTCTTCCAGATCTCGTACAAAGCATTTTTCATTACTAAAGACTATAAGCAAAAAGTTTAGTATCGGTTATATCTTTTTCTAGCGCAAGACATGACACAATAAGAATAATGATAGCATTAGTAGTATAAGATTTCGTTGTCTACTCTTCAATTGGATATGAAATCGGTATTCTTATTTGGTGATTTAGAAGAACAAGTTATTCATTAAATAACCTCCCGAATATGTGAAATCTGGAGATGAGCATACAATTTATGGGCTTAAAAGGCTCTATACTAGTTAAAACAAGCTCAAAAGCTGGTACAATCATATCAAAGCTTATTTTTTAAAGCAAGACTTGAAAAAAAATTCACATAAGCATACATTCTTTGTAGTATTGGAGATGGAGGGAAAATACTTTTTTGTATGCGTATATGTTGATAATTTGATTTATATTAGAGATGACAGTACTATATTTAAAAATTTTAAATAATTCATAGTGTTTAAATTTCATGTCTGATATTAGAAAAATACATTATTTTTATCATGATGTTTGAATTTGATGTCTGATATTAAAAAAATACATTATTTTTATCATAGAGGTGGTGCAAATTCCCACCAATATTTTTATTTTTCAAAAAAAATATGTATAAAAAATTTAAAACAAGTTTAAGATGAAGAGTAGCAATTCTATTACTACATTAATCGAGTTTGGTCTGAAGTTTATGAAAAATCCTAAAGGAAGAAAGCTAGACGGCACTTTACACAAGTAGTAGGAAGCTTGATGTATTTAAATACAATAAAACCTGATATAATGTATATTGCAACTGTCATTAGTATAACAAGGAATGTCCAAGGGAGATATATCTTCATATTGCAAAAAACATTATTCGATACTCAAAAGATAGAAAAAATAAATTTAATTAGTTTTACTGATAATAATTGTACTGAAGATTCAAGTGATAAAAAAACTCAAGTCTATATATGTTTTTATGATGAATAATTTGTACTTGTCAATATTTGACTGCCAGTTTCATTTCAAGCGAAGAAAGAAGCAACCATAAGTTATTTCAAAAATAGTTTACCAATAAAGCTTTACAAAAATCTTGTTCTACATGGAAAAGGCAAGCATACTAATATGAAACTTTATTCCTTGAGGGATTTCACAAAGGGTTAAGTATTGACCTCATCTATGGTAAAAGTAAAGATCAAATTGCCAATATATTAACCAAGTCCCACAAGTTAGCTTCGTTTATGAAGCTTAGGAAATTACTTGGTGTCTGCAACTTTTAAAATTATATTTAAACTAAATATTGAAAAGTTTTAGTTTAAGGAAGGCATTGTTGAATGTTTTTCATGTTGGGTAACTTTTTAGTTGTCCTTGTCTCTGGGAGAATGGAAGGAGTGGAACTTATTATAGGGGCATGGTTTTTTTGTTGCTTTTCTTTTTTTGACTTACTGGTAAGAATCATGGCACAGTGTGGTTTATTTAGCGGTAGAAGTAGCGATCCATGCTTTCCTATTTCTTTGTTGTTTATGGTTGCAAAAATGCCTGTATAAATATTAGTTGTTCAGTAGAAAATTACAACAATTTATTGTCTTATATGTTTAGCATATTGTCTTTTCTTTTTTGCTTTTACGTCATATTTGACCTTTTGATAAAAAAAAATATATCATTAGATGACTTAGAAAATATGTAGATGTATATCTAGAAACATATCTTTTTGAAATACTCAAGCTTCAATTCTCTCATGTTGTTATTAAATACAATCAAAGATAAGCAAAAACACTAAAACAATCGAACCCCTAGTAAGAAAAATAGTCTCATGGACAGAAGGTAATTAGGTAAGTGGCTCCATGATTGCAAGTAAAGGTACTAGTTTTATCATCATATGCATAACTGTAAGCCTGAGGGCATTCGTTCTTGAATATCATAGAGTAATTAGTAGGGTGGCATTTATCAGGCGTACTAAACTCACCACTGCAACAATATTGAGGTTGACTAAATGCGACACACGCACTTTTGCAGCTAATCACTGTCCCAGTGCTCCCTTTTACTGCTAACTCTGGTGGGCAAACCAAGTTCACATTCTTAGGACAACTTGTTATATTGCACCCCTCATATCCTCCGCTCGGAGTTATAGAAACAGGCAAGTTAAAGCCATCAACCAGGCTGATATCATAAAAATCTAACCCGCCATTCAATTGGATAGCAAGTTCAGCTAGAGTTGTTGGTGGGATTGCACCCGCACCGTTGCATGAAATATTGCCCGAACCACAATCTCCGGTGGCACAATAAAACTTTCCCGATCGATCCTGAGAGCATTGAGAGCGACCCCACACTCGTCCAGCCCATGGAATTGGTACGTCAAGATTCGATGAGGCGTTTGAAGCTAACTCGAACCCAGTTGAGGACAAAGGAGGATGTCCTGGATTTGTTAAGGTTCCTGGCCAAACTGTGAAGGGACATCTATTTTGAAAGGTAAAAGTGACCGACTGAGTTCCTGCATTCAAACAACCTTAGTATCAAACATTCGAGATTGGAGATGATCTTACCTATACAGGTAACTTTTTAACGTACTTTTATGTGCCTAAATGCGCATATATATATATATATATAGAGAGAGAGAGAGAGAGAGAGAGAGAGAGAGATGTAAAGTACTCGCCTAAGAAAAAGAGGGTGGACACTGCAGTAAAAGCCAAAAGTACTTGAAATAATGCAGCCATTTGTTGCTGATGTTAACGTTTTGCTTATTAAAAAGAGTATATAAAACGAAAGAGAAAAGAAATGGAAGATCAAATGAACTTCGAGATTCAAACTTTTCAAATAGAATGCACAAGATAAACATCTTATAAAGAGACTGATAATCCACCTTGCAGATTGGGAGAGAAGATGAAGAAAAATCCTAATTGGTAAAAATCTAAGACCAATATATTATAAAATTTATTGCCTTTATGAATTTAGAAAAAAGAATAATGAAAATTTGTGATATCTTCTAATTGCACACATATTCAAATCCTTTTTTTGCATATTTACTTGCATATATACAAATTTACTTCCCAATACACGATGTCTTACCTTGAAATAAATTAACAAATTTGGTAATTTTCCCAATTTAATACTTAATACATGCACCCATGCATTTACTAGTTTAACAAATTTTTATGTACATTTATCTTTCATAAATTTGACTAAATTCAACCTCAAATTCTAAATTAAGAAAAACAAATCATATCATTAATTAAATTATCCCTATTTAAAAGTTTACTAATTAATAATAATAATAATAATAAATTAAATTAAATTATCCCCATTCATGTACACAATATTTCTCCAACATAATTGAGTTTACCACATCCCATAAAAAGCCAAATTAATGAGTTGGTAGATGGTAACAACAACAACCACTTGATCTGATCAATACAACCGTATTAAAGTGGGTAAAATCTCATGGCTTAACAAGAGATTCACATCTTTTATTCTCATATTTAGATTTTAATCTTATCTCTTGCCTTTAAAGTAATCTTGATTATAATCATTAATCACTTGGCTAATCTCTCAATTAGTTACTTTCTTCTCAAATATTATATGTTGCATATTAATATTGAAAGAATAATACTGACTTTTAAACTTCCAAATATATAAACAAATACCATTTTGTAGTTAACATCTATTGCATGGATGATGATACTTATCCAAACGAAGGTAAATTAATCGGTAGTGGTGGTGAAACAATTTCACAATACAATAATATTGTATCGGACCAAACTATTTAAATTTCATTTGCTTTTTAGTCAAAATCGAAATAGTGAACAATTTGAAGCGAATTATTTTATTTACTATACCGAATTGGTTTGAGTTCAGATTTAGTGACGAAAAACTTGTTTAAACCTAATAAGATACTGTGTATATAATTTGTTATGTATATTTAGTCTTGATCAGTTAATATAAC